ACTGATGAAACTCCACCCCGAAACCACGGATGATCTCACCCAGTGGCTTCATATAAATGTTGAACAGGAGAGGCGAGAGGACCGACCCCTGTGGTACCCCACAAGTGAGGCGCCTCGAGGTTGACCTCTGCCCCCCTGCCAACACAAATTGCGTCCGGTCCAAGAGGTAGGAGGAGAACCACCGTAAAACGGTGCCCCCAACCCCAACCCCTCTAACCGGTGCAACAAGATACCATGGTCAATGGTATCAAAAGCCGCTGAGAGGTCTAACAGGACTAGGATAGAGGAACAGCCCCTATCCCGAGCCCTCCAGAGATCATCAACCAACGCGACCAATGCCGTTTCCGTGCAGGGGATTTGGTAGATTACATTGGAAGTATCTCCCACCTCCAAGCGATCTTTACAATTCATAATTTGTCCTTGTATGGTAGCCTCTGGACGGTGTGTGATACCCACTTGCTATCTCAGAAGCTGCATTCTACAACTTCTGAAATGTTTTTGATGTATGGTAGGATGTGCCATGTGATTGGTCTTGTGCCTTATTTCTCCCCATGTTGTGAAGACACCTTGCGACAAATGATTGTGGGTACCCATTCTGCTTGAATTGTTCATGTAGGTACCTGCTCTCCAACTATTTGGCTTGCTGGGTACTACAGTGGGTTCTCACCCTGCCATATAGTGTTCTGATGCAACTCCTTTTGTGTAGCAGTGGGTGGAATGTTGGTGGCCTCGCGATAAACTGTTTCTAGGCTTCCATCCTCTTGTCTGTTGACAAGTACATCTAAAGATGGTAATTGCCTAGCTGATTCTTCCTCCATTGTGAATTTTATATACATGTCGATTTAATTGAATATCTAGTTTTACACTAATACAGTTTCTTGATGGTATTCAAGAGCATTCCCATGGATGTTGCATAACAGTAATGAGGCAAAAAAGCAGAATGACTATTGCCAAAATTTTCTACTCCAGGTATGATCACAATTGATACACCAGAGACAACTGAGTGAAAGTTCTATTGGCCATGGTTTCCATCTACTGTTCACACAGGAAACAGGAGTCTATGAGCAGAAGGGGAGTCTTCGTTTAATGAGCCCAACAACCAGCAACTCAGACAGTAAGCAAAACCGAACTGTGCTTATGATCTTTTGGTTTCCTTTGCTTTACAGATTTGTGGAAATTGGTAATAAAATTACTTTTTCATCACAGTCATAACAGTGACTTTAAGTCAGTTGACTTAAAGATCCAAAGTTACTTTACCTACCTAAGATAATACAATTTGTATCTGCTCGTAAGAGTTTCACATTTTAAAAAATGACTTTGATATAGGTTTATAAGTGTATTTAATTAGGGCCTGCTTTCTACATCCCAATTGATATTCCCTGGTATACAAAACTCAGTGCATTCAATAATTTATGTTGGAAAAATATGTATATGTATATATGTATGTATACATGTGTGTATATATACTTATACATATGCATATTCACTCTCTACATTCTATTTTCATTCATTATTTTTTCAATGACAATATCTTTCTACAACTTATATTTATTTCAGTTTTAAAGTAAAGGACATAAAATTAAGGATGCATATTTTAGATGTTATGATTTCAAAACAGTTTAACTTTTTATCATTTATGTTTGTACTGTCATTCTAATTTGTCAACTATAATGCTGACTAAGCTATAAAAAGAACTGAAATGTCCCAATGGGTAAGTCAATCAAAGTGAAGCATAGTTCTTGGGCTTTTTTTCCCTTCTAGCCTGCAAGGTGACCTTTCCTAAACTGAGGCTTTGACTACAAATCAGGAGAACTGTGGTTTGGTTCTATAGCAGAGCAACAACTAATTGCAAACTAATGCTTAAAGCTGGCAAAGGTACAGTGCCTATTAATACACATTGTCAATAATGTATTATTTCTCAGGAAAATTTTCATCTGGCATTGGACACTATGTACAGATCTATCAGGGCAAAGAAAAAGCATTTACTAGATTTGTGTACACAAAATTGCCTACAGTTTCACTTCACTGCCACAGCATTCTAGAGATATTTAATGCAAATCTTGTTCAAAAGAAATAACCAGAAGACATATTTATCAATTTTTATTAATACAAAATTTCATAAAAAACAAGTTATATACATTAACACATCACTTGGCCGATATTATAAATAAGCTATGTACAAAGTTGAACAGACGGCAAAAAGATAATACCCAAAGGAATCAGACTTTAAGGATAGGCTTATTAGGTGTTTATATTTTATTGTGCTATATTTATCTTTTTCCACTAGAGGGATATATATATTTGTGTTTGTGTGTGTGTCTGTGTGTGTGTGTTTTAAAGTATTATGCATCCAGGTAAATTACAATTTGACAAAGCAAGCATATTAAAATTTGAAGTTACTATTCATACTACAGAACTTGTGTAAAATAAAAGGATGACAAAGGAACATTAGAAACTTCATCAATATATTAAAATTTCAATTTAGAATATTCAGTACTCACAGATTTCCTCATGTGGTACAAATATATATTCCTTAGTATAAGTAAATAAAATGTACAGCTCTTACAAAGCAGGATGCTGTACTATTATTATTTCTGTGCTTTAAAACAGAATGATATACATCAAAAATAAAACAAAAATCAATCCAGAGTTCTTAAATTATCTCTGATTTGAAGAGATAATATCAATATTACACTATCTGATGTCAAAGCAGTAATATACAATAGTAACACAACTATGGAAGAAAGCTCCAATGAAAATAGTAGAATTAGAACCAGACAAGGAGTTTAATACTGAGTATGTTCCATTTTTTGTTTTTTTAATTGAATCCTCCATAAATAATGCCTTAACCAGTTTTCTTCTAGCTGTTGATAAATAAGAGAAATTTGTATTTGGCATTTGAGTAAATTATTCATGTAGTAGAAAGTTACCATAGTTAACGTTCCAAACTTAAATTCTGTGGAAAATGGTGGTCTGTTTTGCTAAAACCAAGGCATCACTGTATAAAAGGTATGATAAACATAAAACATTTTTACCCAAGCAATCTACTGCTTTTCAATTTAGTGAAGGATATCCCAAACAATCACATATGCCATATCCCGCTAGACTTTGCATTTGCATTTTCTTTTGTGAAACACAAAAATTATTATGAAATATAGAACACCTGTTCATTATCAAGAATTCTTGCAGCAGACACTGAAAAGATGGTTGCTTGATGAATAAGCTCTGATTAAATCCTTGATAATTTGTATTTCTTCTACAACTGAATTCTTAAGCAGTTCATTTTCTTCACAGAAGTGAATTCATTTCAAGGGATGACTGTCTATAATGTCCCGGCAGGAACTTTCAACTTGATATCCCAATCAGCTGCTAGTACTATCAAGACAGAAATTATGATTTATGACCAAGATTAGTGTAATGAATTACTGCCAAGCTTTCAGGAGAAACTAATGCAGCTGTTTAGGAGACATGACAAAAGGAATAATAACAAAGTCTACCTATATCCAGAATAAGCAGATGTAAGGTCTATTTTAAGCTCTACTCTGGGTTGAGCACTTCTATATAAACTACAGTTATAATTAGCATCAGAATGAACCTCAAGTAGCACATTAGCTTGAGACTAAATTCTAAAGAACATTAATTCAAATAAATTGTGTATTCCAGGAGAGAAACAGTTCTTACCTGCTGGCTGATAAAGTTTTTCTGCCTACATTTGGAGGTGTTGGCTCACAATGGAAAAAGCTTTTTATCCACCAGCATTTTTCAAATATTTCAGGTAGACCTATAAATGGATGATGCAAAATATCCATTGTATGATAAAGCTTCAAAGCAAAAATAAAACTATTACTTTTAATGAAGTAGCAATATTAGAGAAAGATCAAGCTTAAATTTCACTGAAAACATATAAAGATTAAGTGGATAAAAGACAGTGGAATATTTTTTTCATGCTTTTTCTGGACTAAAAACTTTGATAAAGTTACAATACCGTGGTGATTTTTTTCCTGGTCTGAGAATGGCATGGGATCACAACAGCCAGATGAACTGCTTGAAGAAACACTGGACTCAGAATTCAATCGTGCTATATGTGAAAATAGAAATGTTATATTTTATTTCAGAAAGTGGGGAGCAGTTTGTATTTATTATTTAAAAGTAAACTAGAGTTTAACTAGTTTTCCCTGAAGTCCAACATTTTATGTATTTCTGTACAAAACCTGAAGTACCTTTGATAATACAGATGATCGGATAACATGTATACTATGCCCATTTTACAAATCAGATTGTAATCCTATCTGAAGAGTGTAGCCGTTTTATGTATGGAAGGCTAGATCATATGATTGTCAACTAAAAATGAAAGGAGAACAGTTCTTTCACACTTTTAAATAAATAGAATGCAAACCTGATATTTATTTTGTTCAGTTTTGCATAACTCAAGAAATAAAGGCCAGGTGACCTAACCAACATCAGGATGGAATGACTGTTTGTCAATAACACACTCACTAATTGGAGTTAGCACTATAATTGTTCATATTCCTTTCTCATGTTTGCATATTGGCCTTTGTGGCCAACAGGGAGCTGCTAGCTTATTTTTATTCATGAACATATAACATTAGTACCTTATCAATTAATAGTGCTCTAAGTCACTGACTTTCATTAGGTTCAAGTGCACAAATTTATCATAGTCTGTGATAAGACTAGATCACATCCAAAGATTATACATCAAAGACATGAGATGCAATCAGTAGAAAATTATTCACAAGTTGAATCAAGGAAGAGACTGAAGAAGTTCTTGATTGTTGCTAGGCTAGCTAAGAAAGTGAAGCATCAAATTCTGTTGCAATGTAAATACACTGGAAGTTTTTAAGAAGAGACTGGACAGCCATTTGTCCGAAATGGTATAGGGTTTCCTGCCTGAGCAGGGGGTTGTACTAGATGACCTTCAAGGTCCCTTCCAACTTTACTATTATTATTATTACTATACAGGCTTCTCTATTTTATATAGAAGCAAATCAGTTTTAAAATCATGTCAATCTTCAGGACAGAAACATCTAAAATACTTACTTCTGTAGTACTGGTTCTTGGCTAAAAGGCAGCCAGCTGAAGGCACAGTTGCCATTGTTATGTTGTTGCAGAATAACAAACTGTCAGGATGAAAGAAAATGGGAAAGCTCTATATTACTTTTCCACAGCCTATGGATAGGAGATTATATTACCTATTTGCATAACAATACTGACCATATCTCTGTAAGGCTGGGTTTTGTAGAGGGAATATATTTAACATACCATATGTGTGAATATATTTGATTTATACCTTGGCTTTTTCATGCCCAAAGCCTTAAGATTAATTCTTGTTGCATAAAAATAAACCCATCCAATTATTTTCTACTTCTATAAAAATGTAAGGTGGGGACAGCAACTTGATACCCTCCTGCTATTTTTGACAATTCCAACAATCCCTTATCACTGACCCCTGCTAGCTGTCCTCCTCAATTTGTCTTTGCAGCAAATAAACACACTTGCAATTGGAAGAATTCTTTGAAGTTTCACAAAAGACATGAATCGTTTACAGCAGTGTTCCTCAACCTGGTTGGGAATTTTTGGGAATTAAAGTCCATGCATCTTCAAGTTGCCAAAGTTGAGAAACACTGATTTAGAGGATTTGTCTGCCTCAGTTCTTCTATCTCTTCTGACTGAAAGAGTCTACTAGCTTTCATCTCTTTTTCCAGTATCTGAAGATGCTCAGAAGTGCGGGTTGAAACTATACTTCCAGAATACAAAGTATGCTCCATGTGCTGCTAACAGATTACCTCTTTGAACAAGCAGTGATTTTTTCGCTGAGAGACCATTCTGTGTATGAATCAAGTCTTACTCCCACTCACATATTCAGGATATGTGCTTAAAATGCCTCAAAAGCCTTAAGAAACTAAAGGCCAAGCAGCTTTTATAACTTTCTTTTCTAACTTACTGTACAATACATAAGGAGCCGTGTTTCTCATTAACGAGTCCCAACACGCAACTCACGTCCAGTCTCCGTGAAATCTCTGCAGAAGAACTTTCTAGCCTCCCCACTGCTTTTAAGCGAAAAAAAGTTAACATGTGAAGTCGCTTGCTTAAGGTTACTTCGAAAGAAAACTTCAGGAAAGAATTTGTCGTAATCGAAAGTGTAGATTTGCAGTCCTAGCATCCCCCAAAACATAAACAGAGCTCGGATTACCTGTTACCGTCTGTCACCGCGGTGTCCTGGAACACCTTTTCGCTTTCTTCGGGCAACCAAAGGAGGATCCTACCAAACCCGCGTTACGTCCCGGGAGAACGATAAAGTTCAGTCGCAAAAGCGTAGCAGGAACGCAGCCCGTCCGAGTTTGCCAAAGAACCGTTCCCAAGTGCACCGTTAACTTCCCACGCCTGACTCAGGGCTGGCTTTATATAGAAGAGCGAGAGACATTGAAACTTGACCAGGCGTCTGAAAGGGGTGGGGTGAGCGAAGCCTCCTCGTCTCTGGAGATTTTCCTTTGCTCAATAGGGTAAAGTTTGCTCCCTTTTTCCTCCCTCCGCCCTGATGGACTGGTTGATTGTATGATGACAAGGGCACAACAACAAACATAGGCCACACTGTGCACACGCGCTAGGCGATTGACTCGTTAGGGAACAGCACATGCCCTTGGGTCGGGAAATCTTTGGCAATTTCGGGAGCACTGACGAAACGGTCTGCCTCCTGGGTTGTTCATGTGAAATGGAGAGGAGCAGGTTAATTTTGTGAATGGCCTTTTACGATTTAGCCCAGCATTTCTCAATCTCAGCAACTTTAAGGCATGTGGACTTGCTACCTGGGGAATTCTGGGAATTGAAGTTCACACATCTTAAAGTTGCTGAGGTTGAGAAACCCGGGTTTAGCTATCACTTGTTTGGTTTGGTTTTCTTAAACCAGGGGTAGGTAAGCTGTTGCCCTCCAATGTTTGAATTCAGCAAATTTAGGCTGCTGTATTATGCAATGAACTAGATTATCAATATCAAACAAATGGAAATAAAGATCTCTTTGGGCTGTTATCTAATATTCAGCTGGCTTTTGTAGGCTAGGGAAAAGATTGTTGGTGGTGTAAGGCAATTCTGCAGTGCCAGCCAAGATATGTGTCTCCTCTGCTTCACCCAGCTTGAAATTAAGCCAGGAGACGGAATAGTATTTCTGTTGGCTCTTCCAGTATGGCAATAATGCTGGCTGGGCATTTGGTTTGGGCTACAGTTAGAGCAAGTCTTGATTGGTGGATACCTTTCTTTTGCACCCCTCCTACCCACACTGAGATAGAGTTGAGGTTAATGTGGAATATGCATGGTGCAGGTGACCAGGAACTTTCTTGTGGATTTCTAGAATCACCTTGGCTGTCCTGCTACAAAATAGCAGCATTTTTAGAAGGAAGCAAGAAATACAAACTTTGCTGAATCTTCTCCTGGCCACAGGAAACATGGCTTTGGGGCAGGGCCCTGATGCCAGGTTGACTGCCCTCCATCAGAGGTGACATGGGAGCTTAGAACAAACAGTTCCCCCAAACCATGAAACACGACTGGAACAAAGGCAAACACACCAAAATGTTTCTCCCAGCTTATATGGGATCATGGGAGAAGCTCCTGCACTAGTTTCTTTTTTTCCATAGGCAGTGGTGCAACACAGATCCGCACAATCCATGGTTTAGCAAGCCTCCTTTATTTTGCTTCATTTATGTTCTCTGGCTTCTGGGCAAGGGGCTGGGAGAGAGAGAGGTTTGTTGCCTTCAGTCTAAAGCAAGGACATTCCAGCACAGATTGCATAAGAGCCAAGTCAAGGAACAGGGCAGAGTCAGAATTAGCAGTCTAACACCTATCACCATAGAAGCAGTTCCTGTCTACAGGATCAGCAAGTGCAAATAATAATACTCATATGCAGCATGTATATTCTTAGTAGGGAATTTGGGAATACTTTGGGTAATGTGGCATGGTGACGTCTCCTTTCACCTGATCCTCCACTGGAAGCTTAAGGGCAGGAGAAGGGCCAACCACAGTGTTGCATAGGAAAATCACAATTGATCATGCACCTAACTAAATGAGCCCCTAGGGTCTGAGAGAAAAATAACTCTCCATCCTGATATAAGCCATAGGGACCACTATGGGTGTAGTCACATGGCCCAAACCCACATTCAGGTATATGCACAAGCAGTGATACTGTCAGCCCAAGGGCTTAAGTGCAGCAAGTGAACTGTGAAAAGCCATTCCACCTCCACATCCTCCTACCAACACTCCACCATCATCCAAACCATCAGAGTCACATGGTCCGAGCACCCTACCTAGGATGCAGATGCTATGGAGGTCATAGCACTAATCAGAGGACACATTGAAGTTAGCTGCCCCACACACTGCCGTAACAGGTCAGCGGCAGCTGATGGGGATGCCATGCTAGCATATCAGTGATGATATGGAGGCAAGACTAGAAGGGACATATTGCTGATTTAGAGACTAGGAGCTGTATGGCACTACCCACTTATACTCTATGGCCATGGTGGCGAACCTATGGCACGCAGAGCCCTCTCTGTGGGCATGCGCGCTGTCGCTCCAGTCCTAGGCCTTCAGCTGGGTTTTATAAAACCTTTTCACTTTAGGCCTCCGCCGTGTACAAAAAAAATCAATCAATCAATCAATTTCAACTTCTCGCAGGAAAAAAAAAGATCTCGCAAAGTTGGAATTGATTGATTGGACTTTTTAGTCCCACCCAGTCTGCTGTTACCACCACAGCCATGCCCACCCCTACAGGCCATGCCCACCCAGTTGGCCACACCCGCCCGGCACCCGACAATACATAAGTGTGTTTTTGGTTACAGTTTGGGCATTCGGTCTCTAAAAGGTTCCCCATCACTGCTCTGTGGGAAATGTTTTGGTCTTAGTCTAGATGTCATGGCAGTGAGGTATGAGTCAAAAATGATTTGCAGGCACGTAATCAAACAAAGTCACAGATGGTCTTTGCAAAAAGTGTCTAGATTCTGGTGATTGGCCTGGAGCTTCTACTGAATTTTTATCTCACCACAAATTTGGTTTTATTCAACTTTTGGGATATTGGTCCATTTCCCAGAAAGAAGGAAAAAGCAGTCTTATTTCCATAGCTCTATACCAGACATGTCAAACTCGCGACGTCATGTGACATCGTGCAACGTATCAGGCCGGTTTTGCCATTGCCGGCAATGGGGTGGGTGCGGCTTCCAGATGACGCATCCAGCCCGCAGGCCAGCAGTTTGACACCCCTGCTCTATACTTTAATATCACAGGGCAAGAAGGTGGGACTATAACATTTATTTCATTTCTTTTCATTTCCCCTTTTTAATTTGCCAAAAAGGCAACATAGAATGTTGGACCTCCCTCTCTCCAATGCTAGGGTTATGAGAAGAATGCCAAATGAGGCATCACTCTGGTAGTTGGATGGTAGCAGAATATCTCCTGATAATTTTGCACAGCATGGCAACTAATTGTGTTTTTCTTAATTACACCAATTTTCAGTGTTCCTATAAACACGTTAGTCTTTAAATCAATGTTTCTCAACCTTAGCAATTTTATGATGTCTAGACTTCAGCTCCCAGAATTCCCCAGCTAGTGTTCTGGGAGTTGAAGTAAACACATCTTAAAAGTTGCTGAGGTTGAGAAATACTGCCCTAAATTAATAACACTCACAACACACTAGGGTAAATCATACTTCCTTGTCATAGTTGCTGATTCATATCAACTTACCATTGTCTATCAAAAGAAAGAATCATTTTCTTTAGGGGAAAAAAAAGTAATTGCAATTGAAATTTCCAGAATTCTTACCCCGCAATCCCAAAGTATTTGGAGAAAATTACTTATTTGAAAACCAATGAAGGTTAACTACAGCATGCTTTTGCACCAAAAATAGCAAGGTGTTGGGCTCATAAGTCACATTGAGCAATAATAAGATTTATTTTATTTATCATTTGTAAATCATAATTAATACTTTAAAATGTCATGTTAGCCCATCCAATTGTGATTCATCCCAACCACTTCTCCCCTTCTTGTCTTATCTAACACAATTTTTGTGGCATGACCTATCATGGGCCTAAATCGCTTCATTACACATTTTAAAATTGTAACTATAGTGAGATGGGATAGGTTACCTTTTGATGTATTAGTCAGATCATATTACTCAGCTTTGCAACAGCTTGAATGGCACGTCCTGTGCCTTTCCTGAAACCCCTGAAAGTAATAATGTCTCTTTCACAACATTACACAAAAGTATAGAAGCATTCCTGAAACTTTAGATTTGTTTCTCAATTTAAACAAGAACCATTTACCCAGTACTGGTAGTATTTTACATGAACCTTCTGTCAGAGTTTCAAATGGCAAGTTATAAACTTTCCAGAGTGGAAAATTGGAGAGTTGCCCCAGGTTAGCATAGTAGAGCGGACAAAGTGTCTTGAAGTAAGGTCTGTGCTAAAATTAGTAGGTTGAATTAATTCAAGTTTTATCTCTTAATTTTATTTATACTCTTGGAGATATTCTGTCCGCTGGGTAATGTAACCAGTAGAAATTGCTAACACAATCAGGTATCTTACTTTGCATTTAAACTGAAGTTTAATTCACACACTGTCTGTCGAATGTTTCTAGGTAGCAAAAATAAATCTGCACTAATTTTATCTAGGTTTTGGCTTGGTGTTTCAGCCACCTGCCATATAATCCTTCTTCATTCTGAGGGGAAATTACTTTTGGGGGAACTTTGAATCTTGGTGATATGGCAGGGATCGGTTCAGTCAGAAAGAAATATATCAAATTTTTATTCAGAAGGGCTAGACTAAGAAGCTGAAGAAACTGGCCCAGTTTGTGAGGGAGCACTTGCCACTCAGAAAATGGTGGTTTGTTTCTACTTTCATGAGAGGGGAGCATCCATAATTTTCTCTATAACCAGAGAAAGTGAAATTATTATCCAATAGGTTTGTGCAAGGTGGCAAGTTTATCTTTGTTGACAGTGGTATCCATTAAGTGTCAAAATCATGCTTTTGTATGGGTATGCCTCACAAAAGTGATGAGGCTTTGGTCACAGTGCTGGGCCAGATATTTTGCAAATTTCTACCTTCCCCCCAGTCACCCCACTTTCATGAGGAACTGTCTCCATCATAAGCTATGCAGTACTCCAATTCTAATATCCAAGAAGGATATTAGATATTCATAGATACATAGAAACCTTCTGGGATAGTAGAATTGGAAAGATTTTTGCCTTTAAAAGCAGGGGAAGCATTATTTTATGAAGCAGCTTTGTAAGGAAGTTTATCACAAATTAGTCAAAGCTAAATATCCCATGTAAGCTTTGCATAGTTCTACTGTCAAAGATCACTCACATGGATTTGTGTGTACATTATGGAGAATTTCA